TCTCAGAGTGACGCTGAAAAACTAGTTCCCCTCCCTGAGCCTAGTTCTGCTGGGATACTCCAGTGAGGTTTCTGATAAATCTAGTACTCTGTGACTGTATCTGATGACTGGCAGGTCATAAGTGTTGATAGATCTTGTTCTTACCGTTCAGCTGACTCCTCAGGACTTGCCTGACCCTCTGCAGGTACTTGGTGGTTGCAGCTTTCCTAGCAGCCTGTTCATGGTTCCTATTTTCCTGTGGGATTCCCAGGTACTCGTAGGCGTCTTCGGTGTCTGCAATGTTTCCTTCTGGTAGTGCAATCCCCTCAGTTCGGAGTACTCTTTTTTGGGCAGATTGACTGTTTGGATTTTGATTATTTTTTCCCCCCTGAATAATAAACTGCCTCTTTTATAAACTGCATTTTCTGTTTTCTTTGTTAATATTAAAATTTCTTTGATGATCTGAAACATTTAAGTTTGACAAACACACACACACACTCACAAAATAGGGAGTGGGGATGTAAAAGCTGCAGAGTTTACAGTGTCAGTACTTTATCAGTGTTTTATACCCACAAAGCTAGATGTTTAGACACCATCTGTGCTCGAAATTCAAACTGATGTGAACATTGTTACGGCCCTGGCAGGGCCGCCTCCTGAAGTTGTCTGTGTGGGCGTGTCCGACCATCTCTCCTGCCTTAGCTGCCACCTTTCTCTCGTCAGTAATTAAAAGTATTTAAGCCCAGGGAAAGGTGAGCTCTGGGCCAGAGTGCCATTAGTGTGGTTGCAGCTAGTGAGTTGTGTGTTTGTCTGGTTGCAGCTAGTGAGCTGCTCTCTTTTTGACTTACCTTTTACTTTATTGACCACCGCTTGAGTTGTGTTTGTTTTCCTTAAATGGTGATAGCGGCTTGTCCGTCTCTTTTAGTTGAGCTACTTTAATAAAACTATTTAATTTAACCCTTTTGCCTCCTTGACTCCTTTTTCTGACCCGGACACTTTTTGTTACTTCCCCCCCTCATCGCCTGGACCCTTTTAGGGAAACGTAACAACATCACAAACCCACAGATACAAAGTGGCACAGACATGATTACAATCAAAGGAGGAGCACTTAGCCTCATGAATGCACTCATTTGACCTTTTACGTACAGTATGCTAAGATTTTGATTATCATCCTGCCTCTGCAGAGTTTCTAAAAAAAACAACCTGTTGAGTTACATCATCCCTAAAAACTCCTGCTGTACAGAAGCACCAGATAACTTGACAAAAACGTGAAGCAGGATAACAATAATGTGAACACTTAAACATCATTCAGATTAACAACTATGTACACCTTTGTTTGTCACTATTCAAGTCTTTCACATTGCTGTGCTTTAAATGACTTACACAAATGCATTGAGGCATTTCAGAGGCAATGATTCAATGATTCAATGATTAAAATTTAAATTATGATAGTTTTGTATTGAAAGATGTATATTTTCCTTGTAAAGAAGTAAATATGGGTAATAAATAGCACTACCTAAATAGAAGATTGCACAGATTGTAATGAATAAATCGAATATTTTATTAAAGAGTTTCTGTGAAGGACCAAAGCTAATTAAAATTAGCTGCATGAAGTAATCGTTAAAAAGTCACAGCAAATATTTTTATCAGTGTGCGTTTTTATTCAAACATTTTTTTCTAACTAAATTTCTCATTTAGTTAAAAATCTAAAACACAAATATACGAGACTGAACCTGAGAAGAACTCAGCTTTCATAATAAGATGAAAGAAGACGTGACCATAGAAAGATGCACTAGTGACCTATCCGGTCGTTAAGTGATGACGTGACGAATCTTACTTCCGGGTCTAAAGTAGTCTGCGTTTAATATGGCTTTTGTGTTGTTAACATGTTTAATGTTTTGTATTTTCTTCTATTTGATTTCAAAAAGCTCCTAAAACAGTCAGTGATCACTGTTGACCTCCCTCGGCTTTTATTACCGCTAATCATTTATTTAAGCTCAGTTTTTAAAACC